TTGAGGACGGTCGAATGCCTTGGGACCCTGCACCTGCCTGGGAGACCCAGAAACTCCTGGCTTCGGATCAGCTCAGCTTGGGGAATGAACCAGTGGACAGAAAATCTTTCTCTCTGTATCTCCTTCTCTCTGTGTATCTGCCCTTCCTCCAATAAAAATAAATAAATCTATTAAAAAAATATTTCTTTGGACAGCAGAGTTACAGAGAGAAGGAGAGACAGAAAGATCTATGCCCTGGTTCACTCCCCCAAATGGCCACAACGGCCTGGGCTGCACCAAGCTGAAGCCAGGAGCCAGGAGCTTTCTCCACGTCTCCAGGTGGGTGCAGGGGGTCCAAGCACTTGGTCCTTCCCCTGCTGCCTTTCCAGGAACTGGATGGGAAATGACTCAGGCGGGACTCAAATCGGTGCATATAGGGGATACTGGTGCAGCAGGCAGAGGCTTAACTCACTACAGCACAGCACTGCCCCCCCCACACACACACACAAGAAAAGGTAAAACAAAAGGAATTTCTCTATATTCTGAAGTCATGCAATGCAAAGTGTTTGCAGAAAGTAACATGAGGCTGAGGATTGAAAATGTGTCTGTGTGCTGTGCGTCAGAAACCCAAAATCAGCTTTGCCCTCACCGTGTGACAGAGACACCACCCTGGAAAAGTTGGGAGGCCTGGATTCCGGCTCCAGCGCCTCAGCCTGGGGACACCAGGCACTCTCCCCGGTCTGTAATGAAAGGGTGGCAGATAAGATCGTCTCTGATTTCTTCCAACTCCGAAATTAGATAGAACGTGGAGGTGCAAGGTGGTTAGCCAATGTGAAAACAACCACAGGCTGGCCCTGGCACTGAGCAAAGCAAAATCCCGAGGTAAAAGGCCTGAGAATTTATGCAGGTTTCAATGTGACAATTGGGAGTGCATCACACACACACACACACACAGGTTTCTACCTGCCTTGCCAGTGCAGCCTTGTAGTAGACCAGCAGTCCCCGAGGCAGGCTGGGACTGGACCAACAGGAGCCCTGAGTTCACTTTGCACACATAGCCAGCAGGGAGCCTGAAGGGCTCAGAGAGGGAGCTCTGGGCACAGGGATTGTGGCCACGCAGCTGCTGACCTACGATCACCCCACCAGCCTGTGGCGACGCAATCCCCTATGTGTGTTCACAGGCTTGCCTCCCCGTGCCCCGGGAGCAGAGTAACATCCGAGGCTGTTTTGCTGCCTTTCCTCCATGTTCACCGAGAACCCAACGTCCTCAGAAGGCTGGACAAGTGGGCTGAGAACCCTTAGCTACACCCAGTAAAAGGCTCAACAGGCTCGATGGCTGCTGCTGCCCTCTCGTGGCCATTTTGAGTATTGGCCAGAAAGAAGTTGCAAAAAGGCTACATTCAGAGACATAATAAAACAGTTACTATTAGAAAAAAATATTGCAACAGTTACGTTAAGTTAGGTAGTAGCTAACTTATTGAGATGCTTTTATTTTAGAAGTCTGTGATTCTAAAACACCCTAACTGCTTGATACCTGCTAATGTGATTCTCCCAATAATTAGACATAAACACTATCATCATCTCTGGTTTTAGCTACTTATTTATTTGAAATTCAGAGAGACAAAAGAAGAGCAACAGAGGGAGAGATTTTTTTTTTACTCTCCAAATGACTTAAATAACCAGATCTGGGCCAGGCTGAAGCCAGGAGCCCTGTCCAAATCTCCCACATGGGCAATAAGGGCCCAAGCACTTGAGCCATCTTCTGTTGCTTTTTCCAAGCCATTAATGGGGAGCTTGATTGAAAGTACAACATCTGGGATATAAACCAGCACCCATATGGAACACTGACACCTTTGGGGCCAGTACGACCCATTCTGCCACAGCTCCAATCCCATATATCTGAAATTTTGGTGGAGGGCGGGGCTAGTGCAATGGTTCAGTTGGCTAATCCTCCCCCTTGCAAGTGCTGGGATCTCAAATGAGCTCTAGTTAGTGTCCCAGTTGCTTCACTTTCCCTTCCAGCTCCCTGCTTGTGCCTGGGAAAGCAGTTGAGGACGGCCCAAAGCTTTGGCACCCTGCACCTGCGTGGGAGACCTAGAAGAAGCTCCTGGCTCTTGACTTCAGTTTGGTTCAGCACCAGCCGTTGCCACCATTTGGGAAATGAACCAGCAGATGGAAGATCTTTCCCTCTGCCCATCTCTTTGTAGATCGGCCTTTCCAATATAAATAAGTAAATCTTTTTATTTGAAAAGTTATTTTCTTTTTTAAAAATTTTTATTGCAAAGTCAGATATAAGGAGAGGAGGAGAAACAGAGAGGAAGATCTTCTGTCTAATGATTCACTCCCCAAGTGACTGCAACGGCTGGTGCTGCACCGATCTAAAGCCAAGAGCCAGGAACTTCCTCTAGGTCTCCCACACGGGTGCAGGATCCCAAGGCCCTGGGCCATCCTCCACTGCTCTCCCAGGCCACAAGCAGCGAGCTGGATGGGAAGCAGGGACGCCAGGATTAGAACTGGCACCCATTTGGGATCCCAGTGCTTTCAAGGCGAGGACTTTAGCCCCAGGCTACCACGCCGGGCCCTGAAATGTTATTTGCACTTTTATTTGAAACAGAGGAGAGACAGAGCAATATTCCAGCCACTGTTTCACTCCCCAAATGGCTGCAACGTCCAGAGTTGAGCCAGTCTGAAGCCAGGAGCTTCTTTCAGATCTCCCATGTGGGTTTTGGAGCCCAAGGACTTGAGCCATCCTCTGCTCCGTTCCCAGGCCAGCAGCAGGGAGCTGAATCAGAACTGGAGCAACTATGACTGGAACCAGTACCCATTTGGAATGCTGGCACACAAGGTGGAGATTTAGCTTACTATGCCACTGTGACAACCCTGTGTGAAATTCCAATGTAACTGGGGTACTCTGTTTCTACTTACGTAAACACCCCTTTCCATGCCATCACATACATTATCCCATTTACTCCTCCCAGGAATCTGACCCTCAGATACTCTAGAATTTCCCCCTGCTATCTCAGCATCCCCTGGTATTCCCAATTGAGAGAGCTGAGCTGACCAGCTAGAGCCACAGTAGAGAAAAGAAGCTAGTAGAGAAGCTGGTCCTGCACTTGGCAACTCTGAGAGGCGTGCATGCGTTCCTCCACAATGCGAGAGAAAAGCAGAGTGTGGCAGTTGCCCCTACAAGTGTCTGCCTTCCAGGTGATGCTTCGGGCTGAAACTGCGGGGAGAGCTGGGATGTCTGCCTGGGTCAGGAGAGTGACAGGGAGCAGGGCTGGTCCTGGAGCATCTGTGCTCAGTCCCCAGGGGCTCCCTCCAGGGAGCCAGAACAGATTGTACAAGGGCCCCAGGAAGGCAGGTGCGCAGTGTGAGCAACAGCTCGGGGCCCTGGTGGCAGGAGCAGGGAGCCTCCTGAGGACGAGTCACCTGCCAATCCACAGCACTGGGCTTGCATCACCTGCAGCTGCCACCGCCAGGGAGCCCTGGCAGGCAAAAGGCAACAGGATGAGTGGGAGAAACCCTGGGCCCAGGAGCCTCCCCCTTGTCCCAGCACGGACCAAGAGGACATGGGGCTGGGGACCCCTGAGTTTCCCCTTTCGCTCAGATGCAAACAGTTCCCACCCCCACCCGACCCCCACTTCACCTGACTGGCTGGCTCTAACAGAGCAATGGAGTCTCTGGGCTGGGACCCCTCTGGGCTAGGACCCCCTCTAAGCTGGGGCCCCCACTGAGCTGGGACCCCTCTGAGCTGGGACACCCTCTGGGCTGGGACCCCCTCAGGGCTGGGACCCCCTCTGGGCTGGGACACCCTCTGAGCTGGGACCCCCTCAGGGCTGGGACCCCCTCTGAGCTGGGACCCCCTCTGAGCTGGGACCCCCTCTGGGCTGGGACCCCCTCAGGGCTGGGACCCCCTCTGAGCTGGGACCCCCTCTGAGCTGGGACCCCTCTGAGCTGGGACCCCCCTCTGGGCTGGGACCCCCTCTGAGCTGGGACCCCTCTGAGCTGGGACCCCCTCTGGCCTGGGACCCCCTCTGAGCTGCAAGCTGGGGTGCCTTGCTACTATGTGCTCCAACAGGTTTTTCTCTATCAACCGGGATCAGCGAGCCTCAGAGCCTGTCTGACCTGCCCCCCCAGGCAGCTGGAGCCACAGGCAGAGCCTGGGCCAGAAGCTGGACAGAAAGGTGGCTGCTGCACTCCACCAGGCCCCACAGGGAGAGCCCTGCACAAAGGCGCCTGTGTGCAGCCGCCCAGCTCGGCACCCTGGTGTGCACGAGAACCCTGCATGCCTGCCTGAGAGGGCAGACACTTAGCAGGGAGGTATGGGCACACCAGAGACCTGGTACGGCCTGGTCCTCTCCCACGTCTGGGAGGGGCCTGAACCCCAGACACCAGCCCGGCCACTCTGCAGGCGAGGTCATCTGACCGGCTGCCCACACCCCCTCACCTCACCCAGGCTACACACGGGAGGTGCCACTCGGCGACAACAGCAGCACCTCCTCACCCCTCCCTCACAGCTCAAGGTAAGAAAGCGCTGGGCGGGGGGGGGGGCGACATGCTGGGGTGGGGGCTGGTGGGGAGTAGGTCTCTGGAGAAGGAGAAATGAGCCTTCCTCCACCCTGCCTGCCTGCTGTCTTGGCCCAGCACCAAGAACCCAACAAGAACACTTGGGCCAAGTTCAGAGATTGCACCTGCTCACCTCCCTGACTCCTCTGGCAGAAAGCAGGCAGTGGGGGGAGGGGCCTGAGAAACTGTCTCTCTGCCCCCCCCCCCGAACCCCCACTGCTCTAGATCCTGTCACCTGGCCTCAACCCCTTCCTACTGGCCTCAACCCCTTCCTACTGGCCTCCCTTCTGCTCCGGTTCTGACACCTGAGCCTGCTCAGCGGGTTGAGAAGCACCGTTCTCCCAGAGAGGCTGGGGACCACGCTGGGGACCCAGGGAAGGGAGCCTGGATGCTGTCCTCAGCTGGGACCATCCCCTTCTCTGCCCCCATCTGCTTCCCCAGACTCACCCACAGACAGCACCATGGCCATGAGCAGTGGGCAGCCAGTACCCTCCCTGACCCAGGAGATCCTTGGCCACCTGGGCCTTGCCAGCAAGGTACCGGTGGCTGCTGGGGACTTGGGGACAGTGTGGCTGTTCGGGATGGAAGGGGGAGGGGCCTAGGGACAGTCGAGAGCAGGCTTGCGGCTGGACAGAGAACCAGGCTGGGACACAGATGGACAGTGATGGACCCGTGTGCTCACAGACGGCAGCGTGGGGAACACTGGGCACCCTCAGGACCTGCCTGAACTTCAGCGTGGACAAGGACGTGCAGCGGCTGCTGAGGGCCATCGCGGGCCCAGGTGAGCCCTGCCCCTCTGCTGGGGGGAAGCCTCAGGGAGCGGGGTTCACCTCCTCTTTGGAGCAGTGACATTGCAGGAATATTTGTGTGATGCCTTCATGCAGGGCTTTGGTGGGCGTGCCTCCCAGCACCCCGATGAGTAAGGCAGCATTTTCATGTCACAGGCCCCGGAAACCGGGTCTCAGGGAGGCTTAGGAACCCGCCCAAGGCCGTGCAGATCTTCACCTGGTGGGACTGGGATCCTAATCCAAGTCAGAGGTCATTGCTTTGCTGTCACCCTGGCCACTTGAGGCCTGCTCTGGGTCAGGTCCGGGTGCTGTTTGGGCGGTTTATTTGCATCTTCCGCCAAGATGGTGTGATCATTCATTATGTCTAAGCAGCCAATGAACCAAACCATCCCATCTGAGCCCTTCCCTACGCTTGCTCTCTTCTCTGAAGAGATAAGGGGTCCTATTCTCTCCGTCAGGGGTGGACCGCAGCACCATTGTGGATGTGCTGACCAACCGGAGCAGAGAGCAAAGACAGCTCATCTCTAGGACCTTCCAAGAGCGCACCCAGCAGGTAGGTGAGGTGACCCCCAGGCATGGTTGAACACCCCACCTCCCTGGCCCTTGGGGAGCTTGCTGTGGACAGCCCACTGAGGACAGCATCTGCCTCCTCCTGATTCAGTTCTGGCCTGGGGTATAAACAACCAATCTCCCTCCTCTACACACTGCCAGGCCTGTGCCACGGGGACCCTTATTTTGCAGGATCTGCTGAAGTCCCTGCAGGCAGCACTCTCCGGAGACCTGGAGAGACTTGTAGTGGCTCTGCTGCAGCCTGCAGCCCAAGTCGATGCCCGGGAACTGAGGACAGCCTTGCAGGTAGCGGGCGAGGACCCCTGCTAGGGTATGCATGAGAGGGAGGGCAACGACAACTCCCAGAGAGAAGAGACTGGGCTGCCTCTGTGCTTTGGCTGTGGCAAAGGATGGTCTTGGCAGAGGGCCCCTCCAACAAGCCCACAGCGACCCTTCAATGGGGCAGAGGTCTGCCTGCCACCCTAAAGACACAGCTCCATCTCAGAGCAGCCTCCCCATTGCTTACAGGCCTCCTCAGGTCCTGCTAAAGATGTGGCCACAGAAATCCTTGCCACACGAGCCCCAGCCCAGCTGCAAGAGTGCCTGGCAGCCTACAAGCATGGTGAGAGTCACAGGTGGCAGGGAGGTCCCAGGTGCCTGGATCAGAAGGAGCCATTCCTAGTGCTTGCTCTCTCATGATAGCAGGTCACCTGGGAACCTGGCTGCCCAAGCTCCCTTCCCTGGGGCGCTTCTCTCCCCACCCCATGCCTCAGTTTCCCCAGGGGAGAAAGCCAGATGTGGTTATTAAAAAGAAACAATGACTAACCATGTTGTCTGGGGCCCTGGGGCAGATTTCAAACTAATAACAGCATTAGGCGCTGTGACAGTCTCCAGGGTACCTGTGTCACCTCCTCAGCCCCTTGCTGGTCCCGACCAGCCAAGTTGCATACAGTGTCAGCAGCCAGGGGGCAGGGCGAAGCTCCCACCAGTGCCCGCGTGGGCCGTCCTGGCCGGGACCTGGCGAGTCCCTAGGTCTTCCCAGCCCTTTGCCTTTGAAGTTGTGGTCTCAGCCCTGTGTTCCTAACCCCTCTCCTACCCATCTCCCCTCTTCTAATTTTTAAAAAAGACTTATTTATTTTTTATTTGAAAGGAAGGCTTACATAGAGAAGGGGAGACACAGGTGCAGAGTCCAAGGCTTTGGGCCATCCTCTACTGCTTTCCCAGGCCACAAACTGGGTCTGTTTCCCTTTTTCATATCCTACCTCTCACCACACTCCCCCTTCAGTCTGACCCCATCACATGGGGCTCCACGCCTCCTTTTCACTGTCCTCCACAAAGGCAAAGATGCCCTCTGCTTGGAAAGAGGCCACGCCCACCCCCGGCTAAGGGTTTTCAGGGCGCGCTTGAGCACCAGCAGCCAGCCAGCTCCAGAGCAGGACAGAGTCCAGCACTATGGGTCGGGCGTCAACAAGCTCTGGGGAGAATTACACTAGCCGCCCCGGGACCCCCACTGCAGATTTCCAGACAGAGGTAGAGGAGGACATCAAGGTTGAGACCAGCGGCGTGCTGCGGGACCTACTGCTGGCCCTGGCCAAGGTGAGGAGGGCTGACCTGCAGGGCAGGGGCGGGGCATGCACCTGGAAGGGCAGGGACTGGAACTGGCAGCTGGGGGCGCAGCTCGCAGGGGAGATGCGGGCTTGGCTGGCTGGGCTGGAAAGGGCAAAGCTGCCCCTGCAGGGGTTCTCCTGAGAATGGTGTCTTTCCCAGGGGAGTCGCGAGGGCTACTCAGGGATTATTGACTACAACCTAGCCGAACAGGACGTCCAGGTGAGCCAGTGGTTAAGGGGCGGGTGGAGTTCTGAGCATGCGCCTGGGGACTGTGGCAGCACAGTGCATCCAGATGCCGCCTGACACACTTGCCCACATCCAACGGCTGATTCAAGCGCCTCTCCCCAACCCTCCGTGCCAGGCATCTCCCCTTCTGATCCAGCTTCCTGCTAACATGCCAGGGAGCCACACAGAGGATGGTTCAAGTCTCTGACTACCATGGGGAAAACCCAGATGGAGTTCCAGCTCCTGGCTTCATCCAGGCCCAGCCCAGGTTGTTACAGCCAATGCAGGAGTGAACCAGAGGATACAAGATCTCTTTCTGTCACTCAGCCTTTCAAAAACAAGACACACCACCCAGCCCCTGCCCTCCCAACATCCTAGGGCCTGTGAACTGTGTACTCATTGCCCCCTGCCTAGAGGAGGGGTCCCCAGGGATGAGAAGGGCGAGGGGTGCTAGTGGTGTCATCACACAAGTCTTTGCCCTCATATCTCATGGCAGAGATTGCCTCCTAAGCACCTGGTGGGTGAAGCCACTCCTAACACTCTCTTGGGAATTATGTCATTCCCTGGAAACAGGATTTTTCCAACTTAGGAAATAGAACTGTGGGGGATCAGACCTCTTAGCCTCATTTCTTCACTTTTTTTTAAATTATAATTATATATGTGTTTTAAAAAGATTGATCTATTTTTATTGGAAAGGCAGATATACAAAGAGAATGAGATAGATCAAGATCCTCTGTCTGCTGTTCACTCCTCAGGTTGCCACAACAGCCTGGAGCTGAGATAATCCAAAGCCAGGAGTCAGGAGCTTCTTCCTTGTCTCCCACTTGGGTGCAGAGTCCCAAGGCTTTTACGCCATCCTTGACTGTTTTTCCAAGCCACAAGCAAGGAGCTAGATAGGAAGTGGAGTACCTGGGACACAAACTGGCACCCATATGGGATCCTAGCATGTGCAAGGCCAGGACCTTAGCCACTAGGCTACCGTGCCAGGTCCCAAATAAATATATTTGTAAAAAATGAATAAAAACAGCAAAGAGGGTTCGGCATGGTTGTCTAGTAACTAAACTCCTCACTTTGCATGTGCCAGGATCCTAAATGGGCACTGGGTCATATCCTGACTGTTCTACTTCCCTTCTGGCTCCCTGCTTGTGACCTAGGAAAGCAATAGAGGACAGCCTAAAGCCTTGAGACCCTGCACCTGTGTGGGAGGCCTGGAACAATCACCCGGTTCCTGGCTTCAGATCACTTAAGCTCTGGTCATTGCAGCTACTTGGGGGAATGAAACAGCAGACAGAAAAAAAATAAAATTTTTATGTATGTATGTATGTTTTTGAAAGGCAGAGTAATAGAGAGTGAGAGAGAGAAGGAAAAAAGAATCTTTCCTCTGGTTCTTGTCTCGGATGCCTCCAACATCCAGGGCAGGGCCAGGTCAAGGGCAAACTCACCGGGTTATCCACAGAGTGTCAGGATGAAGCCTTTGCCTCCCTGGATGGGCATTAGCAGGAAGTTGCATCTCAAGATGAAGCGGGCATTCCAACACGGGCACAGAGTGTGGCTCTGCGGTGGCTTCACGTACTGTGCCATAGCTCCCTTCCTTCCCCTCTCTGCTCTCCTCTTCCATCCTTGCCTTTTATCCTTAAGTATAAATGAAACCAGCTGAAATAACCTTGTCCGTCCGTAAGCCTGTTATTGTCGTCATGGTGCCGGCTTCATAGGCTGCTATCCATCCCTCCTCTCCTCCAGGCCTTAAAGCAGCCGGCAGGACCCTGCTCCGAGGGGACGTGGGTCATCATCCTCACCCAGCGGAACCTGGAGCACCTCCGCCGAGGTAGGCACGGCCTTGCGCCCCCTGCTGTCCTGGGGGTGACTTTTGACATAAGACTGTGGTGAGGGACCACCTTTATGATAACGAATGCCACCCCCCTCCCACCCACAACACATGCTGATTTTTCTTGCTACCACCACAGTGTTTGAACTTTACCGGCAGCGCACGGGGCATGAGCTGGAGGAGGCTGTCCAGACCCGTTTCCATGGAGACTCCCAGGTGGCCCTGCTAGGCCTGGGTAGGCACCTGCTGGGGGAGTGTACAGTGAAGGCCTGCCACACCTGCCCTGGGAGGGGAGGCTGTGGCCCTGACCATGCCCTGGACCTCTTTGTGTGCTTCCAGCCTCAGTGATCAGGAACACTGCGCTGTATTTTGCTGAGAAGTTACACCGAGCCTTGCAGGTGAGCGGGGCACCCCCTCTGCTTCTCTTTGAGACAAAAGCTGGTTGTGGTGGGGGAGCGGGGATTCCTCCATGGGCACTGCTGAGCTCTGGTCAGATCTCCAACAGCCAGCCCTAAAAGTTAAAGTTTTGTCTTCACTCACATCAGGTGCCTGAGCAGAGATGTGACTCTGCTGTGTAAGACAGGGCCTGTGGACTCGCTGGTATCTAGACTGAGGGGGACAGCACCAGCAAGAATAGCAATATGAACCCGCAACGCGGAGATGCTCAGAATGGGCGAGGGTCATGCACATCTTCACTAACCCTCCTGTGAGAGGTGCCCTGCCTCACGCAAGGTCACACAGTGAGGACAGTCTTCCTACATCACGTGGGCTGCCTCGGGGCACATCCTTGCCGGCTGTCCTGTGGATATTCTCCACACCGGTCAGATTTGGGGCCGTATTATCCATACTCAAGATGAAAATTCCAGCAACAGGACCTAGTCATTTCTACTTATTTAGCTAGATCTTCTGTTAGCAGCATGGTCTCCCAAAACCTATGCAAAATCCATCAAATTAGAGAAACCACGCGAAGCAGCAGATACAAGAAGTTGCCATTGTGGTGAACACAAGAGCTTTCTGCAGGGACGTGACAAAGCCATGAGCCCGGGTACATGCCTATTCACAGGACAGCAGCTATCAGCACTTGTCCTACCATCCAGACATGCCCACTGGCTACATGTTATGATACGTGTAGAAAAATGGTTTATATGAAAGGCAGGATTACAGAAAGAAACTCTTTCAACCACTGGTTCACTCTCCAGATGGTTGCAGCAACCAGAGTTGGGCCAGGCTGAAGCCAGGATCCTCCTCTGGGTCTCCCACGTGGGTACAGGGACCCAAGGACCTGGGCCATCCTCTGTGGCTTCCTCAGATGCACCAGCAGGGAGCTGCATTACAAGTGGGGCAGTTGAGCTCCTATGGGTGCCAACATCACAGGCAGTGGCTTGAACCACCATGCCATACCAGCTCTGTGTCTTTATGAGTCAACACTAAGATTCATTTGAAGAGTCTGATGATCTGTCTAAATTCCACTCCTCAAAGCCAATGTGTGTCCTGGCAGTAAATGATTTGGTAGCATATTTAGCTTATAGAGTCATATTCTAGGGGGTAAATGCCAACTTATAGTAGAAGACAGAAAACCATGCCAGTCCATTTTTCTGGGAAAAAATCAAAAAGGAAAACCTCAACCAGAATACATTTGGACTACTGTATGAGACTACTGCATGCAGAAATACAAATTATAGATATTCATTAAAATAAATGATCTTCCCCAAAGGCTGATTGAGGAGCAACTCAGGGCAGCTGAAGCATTTAGAATGCTCGTGATGAAACCCCTGGGCAGTGTGAGATGCTAAGCCTGTTCTCAGAATCAAGTCCCCATCCTTGGGCACTGTGCCATTGTGCCAACGCTATGTTACAGGACAGCATAAAAAGGACAACTGCACAGCAATGGGAATATTTGTTGTTTGTTAAGATTTGTCTATTTTTACTTGAAAGCAGGATGGTGCATGTCGAAGATCAGAACCAGGAACTCTTTCTATGTTTCCCACATGGGGCCGAATGGGGGGCAGGGACCCCTAAATACCAGAGCCAGTACCTGCTGCCTCCCAGGGTGTACATAGGCAGGAAGCTGGTTGGAAAGCAGAGCACACAGAACTCCAACCAAAACACTGCAGTCAGAATGCTGCACCACAATACCAGCCCCGGGCAGCAGGTCTCATCTGGTCTCCTGGTGTATCTGTCTTCAGAGCTGTCTGCCTCCCATGGATGGAGCAGTGAGTCTGTCAGGCAGTGGCAGGACCAGGGTAGACAAAGTGCAAGGAGCATAAGACCAACACTTCCCCCACATCCCCTTCTATCACGGGGGCAAGGGTAACTTTCTCTCTTAAGATTTGCTATTTTTATTTAAACGGCAGATTTTTTTTTTTTTAAACAGAGAAAAGGTCTTCCATCCACTAAGCCACTCCCCAAATGGCTGGAATGGCCAGAGTAGGACTAATTCAAAGCCAGGAGCCAGGAGCTTCTTCCTGGTCTCACATGTGGTGCAGGTGCTCAAGGACTTGGGTCAGGATAGCTGACCATTCTTTCCTCCCTCAACTCTCACCTCACTTTCATTTCCTACAACCCTCAGATGCCCTACAGCCTCTGCTCAGCGAGAATCCTAACTATCCCCACCGCCCCTCTGTCTCCTCTCCTAGGAACCCGAGCCCAATTATCAGGCCCTGATGCGCATCCTCATCTCCCGAAGTGAAACCGACCTGTTGAGCATCCGCGCGGAGTTCAAGAAGAAATTTGGGAAGTCCCTCTATTCTTCCTTGCAGGTGAGACTGGCACCCCAGAACTTCACCCCTCACATCCACCCATGCTCCAGACTGCATGTGTTCTTGCCATGGAGAACCCCCCAAGTCGTCGGTTAACACTAGTCACCCTCCACCCCCAAGCCCCAGGGGGTTCTCTCCCTCCCCACCTTGCCAGGGGCCAGAACAAAGGCAGGAATGAGGGCTCTGGCTTTGGTGGCCAGGGGCGCGGGGGAGGTCTTTCCGACACTGGACTCCCACATTTGCAGGATGCTGTGAGGGGCGACTGCCGCTCAGCGCTTCTGGCCCTGTGTAGGGCGGAAGACTTGTGAGACCTTGCTGTCCCCAACTGCACCTGGCGTGTCACCCTGCAAGTGGTGAAGTCCACGGGAGACCAACAGGGCCCTCCCTCCTGAGAACCACCAACTCCAGCTTCTTGCTGTGGCTGGAACCCTGCCTTTTCTTGAAATCTCTCCATCCACCTTGTTTCTACCCAGGCCCTCGGGCTCTGTCTTAGCTGTGGGGGTGATGGGCACCTCTCGGATCCATCCTGGCTATGTCTCTTTCTCATCCCCCTGCCAGAAACTCTCCCTGGCTCGCACACTCTTGAGGCAAATGGCACTGTTGTTTGTGTGCCCTGCTTGAAGCCTGGGTGGAGCAGGACGCGGCCAGGAAGCAGGTTTGAAGCGGAGGCCCCTTTGATGTGCATGTTGGAATCCCCGTTTTGGCCCCAGAGCTGCAGTTATCCACAGGCTCCCGCCCTGGGCCTCCCTGCATCCTCATTATTTTCTCTTCCCCAGGAAATTTCAGGCAAAATAAAAAAGGAGCAGGCAGCAAAACAGGGTCAGAAATGGTCCAAGATGACAAGAGACCTGTGTCTGGAGTGGAAGGCATGCAGAAGGTCAAACTGCACTCCCAGCCTAACCCTCCCCCCCAACTCAGCCTGGGAAGTCTTGGGTCAGCAGGGAACACAACTCCCATGCCCACATTCTGGGTGGCCAAGCAGGGGTATGCACACCCACCTCCAATTAGCCCACAGGAGACAATCAAAAAATCAATGTGCAATAAGAAAAGTAAAAGACAGGCCTTGGGGTACCCCCTGCTGGCCCTGTTAAAAATGACCACCTCAACACAAATTAAAAAAAAGAAGAAAATGACCACCTCCTCCTTCTACCTCCAGGTCTATCCCATCCACTATTTGTGGTCCTCAATTAAAGTCAACTGGTCCACCTCGCCTGCTGCAGGGTAAAGCAAGAAACAGAGCTCAGCAAACAAGTTTTATTTCCAAACCCCTAGGAAATCATTACAAACAACAGACCTAGAAACCCAAAGCGAGCCCACAGACAGGCGGGCCTGCTGAGTGGTCAGGAGCACCCGAGGGATTGGGGCAGAAATGAGGGGAGTTGTATTTCAGAGAGGGGGCCTGAGTCTGCACAGCCCTGGGAGTGTCTCTGGGGAGGGTAGCTGGGAACTGAAAGCTCCCCACCACCCCCATCCCAGGGTTGCCCTGCACAGAGGGAGAAGGCAGCAGCAGCAGCAGCATGTGAGGGCCAGGATGTTGGCGAGTTCAACCTTGGCAGTTTCTACTCGCTTGAGCCCCACAATCCATCAGGAAGTTACCCTGTAGTATATCTCAAGGAGTGAGGCCGGGGAGTCAGCCAAGGAGCCCTCGCCTCTGAGAGGACAGAGGGGCAGCCCCACTGGACCTGGGGCAGAGCTACAGCACCACGCAGTCCGACTCGTGCTTCGGCCTCTGCCGACGTTCCCTGGCGGGCCGGCCGGCTGTGGCTCCCCGTCCCTGTTAGGGTACACCAATGAATAGGTCATCTGACATCCATGGGAAGACGAGTGAAGACAGCAAGATGGGACAGGGTGTGGAGGGAAAGGGGCCGACAGGGGAAGGGTCCCCCCTCCAGAGTATGGATATTCTAGATCACAGAGGGGCTCACCTGTGGCAGGGGGGCCCGAGCTTGCGGGGCCTGAATGCCCTGTTGCTGGTACTCCTCTTGCTGAAGTTGCTGGGCTAGCTCCAGGTCGCTGAGGCCCAGCGTGCCTTGTGGCTGCTGTTGCTGCTGGAGGGACAAGGCAATGAGATAGTCCTGGAGAAAACAGGGGTTTGAGGTGGGTTGAGGCCTGGGATCCATGGCTGTCCAGCCTAGGATTCCAAACCAACTTTTCCCCATTCGAATTTCCCAACTCGTCCCTTCAGGGCAAAAGCCCACAGAGCCCGTGGGAACAGACAGAAGGCTGTCATGTGGCCCCTGGCTGGTCAAGCACACGCAGTTCACCTGTGGCTCACCAAGGGTCCAACGCACCTGATCAACCTGCAGCTGCTTTCCAGGGGAGCCACTCCCACCCCCTGCTTCAGACGCCTTGCCCAGAGAATGAGTCAGGTGGAAGTCCGAATCGCAAAAGCAGCTGTCTCCATCCACGTTGTGTAGGCTCTCCCAAACCACCTGTTCTTCCTGTAGAAAGCCCTGGTCAGTGACCAGTAGGTACAAGTGACTCTGCCAAGAGAGAGAGAGATGGAATAAGCCAACCCGGGCTGGACACTGACCAGAGATGATGTGAGACGCATGGTAGGAGACCATCTGCATCCACTGGTACCCCAGTCTGTCAGTGTAGACAAACAGACCTTTTGTAAGTAGGGGTGGTCATGGGCTGTGGATGTCTGCATGCGTGTCCAGCTGGGTGTTTCGCTGCCAATCATTCTGCTCAAGCATGGAATCCTTAAGGCTGGCGGGCACACAGGATCCGGCTTCTCAGAGAGGGTGTTTAGCCCAGAAGTTAAAATGCCCACACTCTTGGGGCCGGGCTTGGACAGGCTCAGGAACTCCATCCCCGGTCTCCCACATGGGTAGCAGGAAGTCAGGTCCTTGGAACATTGTCTGCTGCCTCCCAGGAGCATTAGCAGGCTAGACGGGACGTGTGGAACCAGTTGTCCTGATCAGAGCACTGGAACCAGGCTTATCCAAATGCACCCAGCAAGGCCACACGTCCTTTCTAGGCAAAAGCATGGAGAGTGAGAACACAGGGCTAAGCCTCCATCCTGTGGCACCAGCATTCCATACGGGTATTGCTTTGTGGCCCGGCTACTTCATTTCCCATTCAGCTCCATGCTTTTGACCTGGGAAATCAGTGGAGGATGGCCCAGGTTCTTGGGCTCCTGCACCCATGTGGGAGACCTGGAGGACGTTCCTGGCTTTGGATCGGCTCAGCTCTGACCATTGCGGCCATTTGGGGATTGAGCCAGTGGATAGTAAAGGCTCTCTCACTGTAAAATCTGTCTTTCAATTAACAATAAATAAATATTTAAAACAAAGAAACAAAGAGTGAGCACACAGAATCCGCCTCTGTTCTCCCTCACACAGTCCTGACACAGGCTCTTTTGTCAATGGAAATGCCTGAGGGAAGCTGGTTGGGGACAGAACTGTCACCCTCTCCTGTTGGGCCTGCAGTGGGTGCCATGGGGGTCTCTAGAAGTTGCTGGTTCTCACAGCTTCATCTTCCTCACGCTGATGGAAACATGTGTCAGGACCAGGGAGCCATGAGGAGTTGACCTCTGTCCAACTCCTGCCACCTCCAGCCCCTTTTCACCTTGTGCTTGGTCATGGTGCTGAAGTGGTTGTTCCGGAAAAAGACGCTCAGCTCGCCCTCCTGGGCCGCTGCCGTCAGCTCACACAGCCCGTGGTAGGTCAGCTGGGCTGCTGTGGCCTCCAAGAACTGCTCTGCAATCAGGCCTGCCACAAGGGACAATAGGAAGAGAGCCCTGGGCATCATGAAACTTCTCCCGGGAGGCCTGGACATAGCACTTGATACTTATGCATAGCACAAGTACTTATGAGGCACCTGCCATGTGCTGGGCATAGTCCTTAAATACTGGGGCAGGGGGGCAGAGACACCAATGAAGGAAACAGCCCAAACCCCTCAGACTCCCCGTGGGCAGTTCCCATTCTCAAGTAGCCACCCCTCCCTCCAAGGAAGCCCAGGTCACCTTCTGTCACCAGGTTGGTATCGCTAGAGTGTTTGCAGGTGATAATCTTGTCTACCAGCTGGTTGTAACTCAGTTTCCCAACTGCACTCACAGCCTCAGGGCTCTGCAGAGGTAGGAAGGGATAGGGGGATGCAAAAATGTGTAAATATATCAGGTTGTTTTTACAGGAAGGAAATGACCCAATGACTCAAGTCCACAAGGGACTGCAACTCTTGACCAAAAAAAAAAAAAAAAAAAAAGCTTCTGCATTTTTGATGTCCCAATAACTAGTCGTGTCCACATATGACTTGCTTCTGACCCCCAAAAGGTGAAAATTTAAACACTGGCATTCCAATCTCTAAACCCTATTTCCCTCCTCCCTAACCAATCTAATGCCTTAACCTCCCCCGACCTCCCCAAATCTGGCCTCTCTCAGGTCAGCTTGAGCTGGTGGTGAAGTGTTCCTCACCTGTGGATCCACCAGCCAGCCATGGTACAGAGGTATGCCCAGCAGGTCAAAGACACTGCACTCAGGTGTATACTCGAAGTCAGAAACGCCCGTGAACCGCACATTGACATCCAGGCCCGTGGCCAGTCGCGGCAGCACGGTCATGGCATCATCCACATTCTGGGAAGAGAGGAAAGGGAAAGCATGGCTTCATGGCCTTCCCTCTCCTAACAGATTCTTCCCACCTCAGGAAATAATAATAAAGAACCCTGCGGCATGTCTTCCCAGGTTCTCCCTGGACAAGCCCAGCCTGGACTCCCCTGCCTTGACCCATCTGTATCTTACACAAGCAAGTGCATGTGATGCTCAGAGGAAACAGAGCACGGCCCAGGGCGCCGGCTGGGGAAGCCGCAGGCTCAGTAGCTCCGGAGGTTCCCTTCCCAGCTGTCTCCTTTCTCACCTGCTGAAAATTAAGCTGAAGTCCCTCAGATTTCTCCTGGGGTTTGATGGACAGGAGGCAGTTTCCTGTAAAACAGGGACCTTGGTCAGCCTCCTTGCCCATTCTCCCAGCATCTCAGCCCCCTTGTCTGTTGGAGAAGGGAAGTCACATCCCAGAGATGGGGAGACCTTACAGTCCAAGGCAGACCCTTCATTTCTCAGGGGAAGAAATGGGCTTACCAAGGTGAAGGCCTGCTCTCCCCCATCCCCCAGAACTAAGGCCACACACACTAAAGCAAAGGGCAGAACTGGGGTGGCCATGGAGAACTTCTGATACCCCAGCCCTTCTTTTCCTTTTGTAAAGAGCTACTTACTCGAGAGGCAGAGTGACAGAGATAGAGGAAAAGACATGCCCCCAAAGACCTACAGCAACCAAGGCTGAGCCAGGTTGAAACCAGGAGCCAGGAACTCTCCTCTAGTCTCCCACATGGACCAGTGCTGGGGCTATTCTCTGCTGCTTCCTTATGCGCATCAGCAGGGAGCTGGTTTGGAAGTGGGGTAGCCGGAACTCAAATCGGCACTCCAGAAATGTGATGCTGGCATTGCCAGTGGCAGCCTAATGTGCTATGCCACAATGCCTGTCTCACTACCTTTGCTTTTCATTCTCCCAACCTTGCAGAAAAACCTCCCCACCCAAGGACCCTTACCCTGTCTGCCACCCCAGAGCCCCAAATGGGGAAATCCTCTACACTCTGGATTTCTGGCTGATAGCCCCGGATCTCCTTGGGTAATTCTCCAAGATGTAGCCACTCACCAAGGTGGGCCATGAGCTCCTCTGATGTGATCACTTCCTTCTGCGGGGGCAACTTGACCTGCAGGCAGAAGAGGCGATCACAGGCATACCTCCCCTATGCACTGCTGAGGGAGGAACTCCGGCTCAGGCAGGGTGGGGGTTCCAGTGGCTTGCCACTGCAACAAG